TGCGTGTGTACGAGTGAGTCGATCGTCGGTGTAACACAGTCAGAGCAGTCAACGCGCATTCATTCGATTAGCATTCACGAACCGAGACACAGCACCGTCTCCTGCCTCCGCACACATCGAAACACATTAAAAAAACTCTAGTTTAGTTTTTTCATACGGTTCATTTTTTCCACATTCAGTATTTGAAATTACACAGTATATTTAAGGAAACATAAAATTAATTTTTGTCATTCATTATTCAACTTTTTGTGAATTAAAGTTTCGAATCAATTGAGTGAAGCCGCTTGTCTTTTTATTGAAAACAAAACAGCAGCTTTACCATAAGTGGTGACCCCGACGTACGAATTCAAATGACACATTATTTTTCGCTTTTGACCGGCACGAAAAAACACTCATTGATAGTTTCACTGAGCAGTGGAGATTCAGACGACCAGGAAAATAACGAATATTCCGAAATGTCAGAGATCGACGGTTTGCGAGATGAAATCGGTAGTTTGAGAACTCAACTCAACGAGTTGCAAAAACGAGGTGGCGAGGCGTGTGGTAGCCAAGGTCAAAACGGTCAAGGCGGTCAAAATGGTCAACCGAACCAAATTGCACAACCGACGCCAAATGTTTATCAGGTAACGGAGATGGTAAAAATGCAAGCGTTTTACGAGAACGATCCTGAACTGTGGTTTACGGTGATTGAATCTCAATTTGCCGCACGAAAAATAAACAGTGAAAGAACGAGATATTAGCAAGTCGTAGCAAAGAAGCGATAAGACTTTTGCCTAAAATGATTTTTAATTTCACATATAAATGTCGCCACACTTTCCATAATATTTTTAAAGCCACATAGTAAACATCATATTTTGAACTGTTATGTTGAAGGCAGTTTGTATTGCTTCTTTAAACAGATTTCATTATTGATTTCACAGGAAAAACGAATAAATGAATTTAGCTTACATTGCAAATAGTGCATTTTCTCTTCTTCTTTTTTCTATTGACTTTTTTTCAGATGGAATTCAGACTTTTGGCAAGTTTTTTGGCTTGATATTGATTAAATTGAATGCATTTCTTTTAAATTTTTCACAATATTTATTCATTTATCAATTATACGAATCTTATCCCATTGATAGTGTTCTACAATTTAGTCCTGAACTAGCTTTGCCATGGCATGTATTGGTGGGATGAGTACAAGAAAGGTGTACCGAACAAGGTCCTACGGAATCTACTCATACCAACACAGCGAATTTATTTATGCATATATATGAGTTGTTGCCGAACTTACTCATGTAGTAGTTAGTACGGTGTTTACGTATGAGTATGTTCGCTACCAAACGAACTAGCACATATTTCGTTCTACACCGTATGAGTTTGTTCGTTTGAAACAATGACATATTTCGCAATATGATATATGAGTTATTTCGTTCGAAGCTAGGGGCATTTCTCACTTAAAAAATGGAACCATTCCAATAAATATTGAGCAATTTCTTCCATTTCTATCAATTCGGGTAAATGGATACACATTTACACTGAATGTGTGAAATACGTTCGCAGTATGAAGCTTAAGTACGTAATACTTAGCATACTTAACCTTAAGTACGTACTTAAGCTTGATACGTAAGTACGTTAAGTATGTTAAATATGTTAAGTACGTACTTAAGGATGACAATCTTCATACTTAAGCTTAGGTACGTACTTAAGCTTAGGTACGTACTTAAGATTTGTACTTGCTAACAGAACCGAATTTATGAAATTGCAGTGAATTCACCAAAATGTTTTAGAATTGACTGGAATGTAGTAATTTGGTTCACATTAAATTTGACAATTCCAGACAATTTCATACATTTTTATACCATTTCAATGGGAAAGAAGAAATATCTTAAATTCTTGCACATTCGTTTCAATTTTTTGCGTGAGAAATGCCCCTAGGTTCGAAGCGAACTAACCTATGTTTTTGTTTACATGCAATTTTGTATTATCTGTGTCATATGGTTGTTTATTCAACTCTGAACCGGCAAGACAACAACATATTTTCGTTAAAAAAAAACATACTATATTTGTATTCGTTAAAATAACATCAATTTGTTTAAAAAAATGGAAGAAAAATTGGAAGTTTTACGAAAATTCAAACAACGACTGCGTAAAGAACATAATTATGTTGAACTGGAGGTCAATAAAGAAACTGTGTACGACCACAACATGTGTGATGATCCTTTATAGAAAAATACGTCGCCTTTTTTCGGTTCAATTTGCAACCATCCACTTGCTAAACGCGAAAAAAAAATTAATTCGCACTAATGCGTCGAACAATCACGTGTCGATCGCATTATCTCGCTCTAATCTATAGAAGTAAAGTAATAAGTAATATATTACTATTTCCTATTACTATTACAGGCTATTAGAGTAATGGCTATTACATTTATCCTATTACTTTTCCTATTACTTTTGTAAAGGGTTAACCTATTACTTCTACTATTACTATTACATGTAATAGGAAAAGTAATAGTAATAGGTTCATCCTATTACAAAAGTAATAAATTTGCAAATCAAAAATGTTATTCTCCATTTTATCTTTACGATAAAAAACCGTTGTTCAATGAAGCATCAACAGAAGGGCGACCTGGTCTGAAAGAAGCCTTAAAATTGTTTAATTGGTGGACCGTTGTTCCAGAAATAATGGAAGATGATACCGCCACATATGAAGAAGGACCGATAGACACGATGGACATGATGGACATGGATGACATGTACGACATCAGCGTGATGTTCGCTGAAATCAATGCAGCTGACTATGACCGGCCAGATTTCGAGCTAAGTAACGACCAGAATATTACAGCGTATGTATGGTGCATGATATGTTTAAATTTCTATTCTCAATATATTGAGAAAACCCTGATCACAACACCAACCAAACAAGTGTATATTGAGAAAGCGGATAAATTCCGAAAATCATTAACCGCAGTGACAACGACATTGATCGACGAACTAAGCACTTCAAGCAATGCAAACAGTAAAATATTTGAATGGTTGGAATCAGCAAAATCTTTCGTGAAATCAATGGGGGGCAATGGCGCCGTTAACTGCCAAATTTGCTCTAACACCTTACAAAAATTCAAAATTGAATTAAAGCAAAATATTGGCTTGTATAAGTTATGTCGATTGACAAATGAATTTATTCATATGGTTTAGTTCGGTAGTGTACGTAATAAGTTGGTACGGAATATTTCCGAAATTAGTCATATGATTTGATTCGGTTTTCGTATGAGTAAATTCACCACGTTGGTAGGAGTAGATTCCGTAGGAGTTTGTTCACAACAAGAAAACGAAAAGAACTATTTAAAAAAATTAAGTATACGAATTTATTTCAAACGGCCATTGCCGTCAGCTTGACTGTTTTTTTTTCACAGATCAAATATTCTAGCAATTTTTAACACCTTTCCATTTCAAAATATAAGCTGTTGATCACTTAACAATCACCAACACTCTGATTTCATAGTTTAGAATTGTCACTTTCATTTCAATCGATTTTTCTTTAAATTACATTTTCAAAAATAATAACTTAAGACTAAAATTCAATTGCTATTGTTTTTACCACTGTTGGCCGCTTGAATGGTTGGCACACGTTTCAAAAAGGAAAAAAAATGACAAAATACATCGCTTCTTGTGTATGGGTGCGATTACACTAAATAGTCGCACGAACGAACGAATGAATATGTAATTTATTGTTGTTGATTCTTTTTTTCACGCATTTTTACTGTTTAATTTAAATGGTTCAGCGTTTATTATTTCGATTATAATATTTTACGGATTGCGTTGGTTTTCAACAACACACGCTAACAGAATATCGTATTCTGATTAGTTTGAACAAAAAGAGATTGATCATGAGAGACTTAATTAAGTCTCTCATAAGCAGAAGGATGAAGAAATTAAGCAACAAAATATGAAATATGAACGAACGAATGAATATCAAGCAATTTCACACTCAATATTATAGCGACATCTATTATTAAAATAGCTTGTAGTAAACGCATTCATAGCATTTCACTGTAGTTGCGATGTTACCTATTAAATTCCCCTGTGGTATGTAGTTAACAAGTGTCAAACATGAATGTGTCAGTACTACAAGGGAACTTAATAGGAAACATCGCAACTACAGGGAAATGCTATAAATGCATTTACTACAAGCTATTTTAATAATAGATGTCGCTATAATATTGAGTGTGAACCCTCAACTGCATGAATTTTTCCTAGGACTGGGAGTACTGGTATTTGGTTGATTTTTGGCCATAGATAACGAAAAAAATATTCATAATCCTAGATTTCCCATGGTTTAGTCAGGAAATGCGATAGAAATAAGTCAGAGAACAATGAAATCCATTGTTTAAAAGTGTCAAAAATATGTCTAATTTGGAAACCGAATAATTTATTGGATCCATCATGAAATCCCTATTGAAAAACTTTTTGAGTCCCTATTGGGACACCCTTTATGTCCCTGATGTTATTGCATCGGATCATCGGTGGTGCTGTTGGCCGCAAAATAATTCGTTTCGTCGAAACCGAGGCAGTGGAGGGAAAGAAACAGAAGATAAAAATTAAACACATTGAAACAGCCGATATCCATATGTGAAATAAATTGAAATATGTAAATACATGGAAATTGGACAATTGGATCATTTAGAGAACTGAAAAATCGTTTGTCGAGTATTGTTGATGAGATTTTTTTTTGTCGTTTCGACTGAGTGAGTACTTTCGATAAGGTCAATCAAATTGAGCTTTCCTGAGTTGAATGTGTTGTTCGGCGAAATACTACTGCTATTCCAGATATTTTAACAGATTTGTAGTGGCTATGGGGAAGTGACGAATCTAATGATTTCAACGGAGTCATTGCTCCGTGTCTCTGTGAATTATAATACAAACATCGAATACAAAATAAATACAGACTTGAGATGCATGATATCGAGATGATAAAAAAGAAGAATAAATTCAAGCACCTTATTTCTACTCACCGAAGTAAAGAAGTTTTGTGTGTGTGAAAGAGAGAGAGAGATTTTTCTGTGATTTTTTATTGTTACTCGTTCGGTGTGAAATGAATAAATGCTTGATACCCTTGTATATTGGCTTCACCTTCGGTGACAATCACAATTCGTCTGTTCAAGTGGACATTCAAGACCCCGTTTCAATATCGCGCCAAAAAAGTTTCCTGACGAGATGTCGTCATTTCATAACGAACGCTCTCGTTGACCTGAAGTTCTGATACCATTTCCGTTTCTATTTCCGCTATTGGTTGTTGTGGTTGGTGTTGCACCTGCTGTGAACACGAGGGTATTATTAGAACATTTTATTTCATACAAATAATCCAATTGAATTGAATTTTACTAGTTTTTTGTATTTGGTGTACCTGCTGTTGTTGCTGCTGTACTTCTTGTTGAGCCTGTTGCGGCTGCAATTGCTGTTGTCTCATATTGTGAGCAAGCACATTTTCGGCCATAAGTTGAACATTTTCAAAAACTTGCATAGTTTCGGTAGAACCCATTTGAAGTGCGTGATGTGTAATCGGCGTGCGACAGCTTGGACATGCAGAACTTGGGAAATACAGCAATTTTAACACATTTTTGCACGATTTTAATTAATAATTTGCACGTATTTACCTTGTTTTCTCCCATTTTACGATACAGTCGACATGAAAAACGTGGCCGCATAACAGCCCCGTTAATTTGCCGTAACGCAGCAATGTTCGTAAACAAATCGCACAGTCTGACATCTTTGATGGTTAGTGGTTGCTGAAGAAATGAACATTGATCATATTTCTGTAGTCTAAAAAAGGATCTCGAAAAAAGAATATCTGACTTTTGGTTAGTTCAAAGACGATGTCAAAGTGTCAGATGACAAACTTGCAGCAGCATAATAGAAGGGAGTAGAACAGGTGGATGCGTGTATCACGGAGGACGGTAGTCCGACACAGTGTTTTTCATAGATACATCTATATCTAAAAATTAGATATAGATTTGATAGATACGTTTGTTACTCAAGTATTTTCATGGGCGTGACATGCAGCCACATGGGTACAGCGCCCGTGTACTTCGTAGTGGAAAAAAAGTGAAGCTTGCTTGTCACCAATATTGATGTTCACGAACATCAAATTGTTTATGCGTTATTTCGCCCACTTTATGCACTGGAAATAAAAAGTTCTTCAATTTCTAGCAAATTTCACATATGAATTCATAAACACATCGAGAAAACACAACTATTTTTTCACATAAAAAGCATAAGCAAGATGATTTTTTCGTTGATGGTTGTTCGATCCTGGATCGTTTGTGATTCATCAACGATTTGCAACACATCCATTTTTGATTTCGATATTCCAACTGAATACGATGTTTTGTATTCATTAAACAATTCCATTTTGATCAGAAAATAATTTTTTATTGAAATGGCTGTGACGAAAAACCACGCGAACGATTGCAAACGATAGCACAAACATTAATGTCTAGGAACATCAAATTCGAATTGACA